GGGAAAATGGGGGAAAAATGGGGGAAAATTGGGGGAAAAATGGGGATTTTGGGGTTAAAAATGGGGAAGAAAGGATTAAAAATGGGGGTTTTGGGAGAAAAATGGGGATTTTTGGGGTAAAAAATGGGGATTTTGGATTAAAAATGGGGAGTTTGGGGTAAAAAATGGGGATTTTGGTTAAAAATGGTGAAAATTTGGGAAAAAAGGTGGAAAAATGGGGAAAATTGGGGGAAAAATGGGGAAAATCGGTGGAAAAATGGGGGTTTTGGGATAAAAATGGGGATTTTGGGGTAAAAATGGGAATTTTGTTTAAAAATGGTGAAAATTTGGGAAAATAGGTGAAAATTTGGGGAAAATTGGTGGAAAAATGGGGAAAATCGGGGTAAAAATGGGGATTTTTGGGGTAAAAGTGGGGATTTTTTTGGAATTTTTTGGGATTTTTGGGGGGATTTGGGGAATTTCGGGAATTTTGGGGGGAATTTTTGGGATTTTTTTTTGGGTCAATTTTGGGTTTTTTGTGTCGATTTTGGGGTTTTTTGGGTCAATTTTGGGCTTTTTTGGGTCCTTTTGGGTAAATTTTGGGTGATTTTGGGTAATTTTGGGTCATTTTGGGTAATTCTGGATCATTTTGGGTCATTTTGGGTCATTTTGAGTGATTTTGGCTCACCTGAGCTCACCTGGGGCCGTTTTGGGTGGATTTTGGTGCTTTTTGGGTCCATTTTGGTGCTTTTTGGGTCAATTTTGGGGTTTTTTGGGTGGATTTTGGTGCTTTTTGGGTGGATTCTTTCCATTTTTGGGTCGATTTTGGGGATTTCTGGGTCGATTTTGGGGTTTCCTGCTCGATTTTTTTGACTTTTGGGTCGATTTTGGTGCTTTTTGGGTCAATTTGGGGTTTCCTGGGTCGATTCTTTTGACTTTTGGGTCGATTCTGGTGCTTTTTGGGTCGATTTTGGGTTTTTTTGGGTCGATTCTTTTGACTTTTGGGTCGATTCTGGTGCTTTTTGGGTCGTTTTTGGGGTTTCCCGGGTCGATTTCTTTGACTTTTGGGTCAATTTTGGTGCTTTTTGGGTCATTTTTGGGGTTTCCTGGGTCGATTCTTTTAACTTTTGGGTCCATTTTGGTGCTTTTTGGGTCGATTTTGGTGCTTTTTAGGTCGATTCTTTTGACTTTTGGGTGGATTTTGGTGACTTTTGGGTCGATTTTGGGTTTTTTTGGGTCAATTCTTTTGACTTTTGGGTGGATTTTGGTGACTTTTAGGTCGAT